ACTCTGCCGTCCCAACAAAGATAACATAAATAAATAAAATATTAAAATTCCTTTGTACCCAGACTTTGTGGACACCCTGTATTGGAACTTGACAATGCACTATCAACACCTGCTTCCGTCATATCCTAACAAAGAAACCTCGTCTACAAATAAAAGGTACAATAAAGAACATGAAGAGGAAATCAATTACTAAATCAGGCAATCTAATGCTGTATATGAAATGAGTCCAAATAAAAACAAGTGAACACAATCTGCCCAGTATGGAAACTTATGAATCTCACGGTGTCATGCTCCCTGGGAAACTGGCACGGCCAGAAGAATTCCCGTTTGGTTTTGAGGGCGATAAAAGTTCATTTGGAAATGGCTGCTCCTAGTTCTTCTGATGAAGGCATATACTAACCTTTTGGGGAAAGCTTGCAATCTTGCCGTAGTATTCAGGATGCAAATTTGAAACCTGGTAAACTTAGATTACTCTCTATTATTATTTAATGCATAACCCCTCAACTGCAGCCCACGGAAGGAAAAAAAGTTTTTTTTCAAGATAGAACGTTAAGATAAGGGTAAACATTACCCGCCTGTGGACTGAACTGCCTCAACAAACGCCGCTGCAACTGGCCTAATTGTTCAGCATGCTGGATTCCACCACGCAACTCGACAGGAAGAAGATCTAGCTGCCGAACGCTGACGTGAAGGATAGGATCGTCGTCGGGGGAAGAGGACAACAGTATAGATGATTCGGGATTTTCCAACCTCTCCGACAGTTCACGGCAGTCAGGACACTGACTCCCCTCGTAAACTGGACGGACGGAAGAGTGGGTGAGGCCTGACAGGGAGGGAAGGGGGTGGGGGGGAGAACGTAAAAGTCAAATTGTCCAGAAAGAGTTAGCATAAAAAGGGCACCCTTGGAATTCTCCATGGCTGTGGAGATAAAGACTTACCTAACCAAATACTTTCGCCCCAGACCAATTTCGCGACAAACGAAGGGGTCTTGAGGAAGGGGAAGTACCAGCGCGAGGAAGGAGATATCAGCCGGGGTTCCAGGGAAATGGCGTCTTCCTGCTGTGCAGTTGAAAGAGGTACTATGCGTCCAAATCGACAGTTTTCTAAACGATAAAGTTTAGCACCCCCGGCGGAGTCCCCGGGGCCGGTCACGCTGAATGCCAAGTGTGATGTCCAGTGAACCTGGTAGCAGAAAAAAAAAAGGAGACAGGCCTTGACTCGCACGAGTAGTTCGAAGAGCTATAATTTGCATGCCCAAGCGCTTTAAAACGGCCAGAAATAGGTCTGAGGGAGGTTTGTCATTACACCATGTATACTGAGCAAGTGGCATTATATAGCAAGCAGTTATAGGTATCGTTTAGAGGTGCATACGAACGTAAGTATAGTGTCTAATTAGGATGCACACGGAGGACGTTTTACGTTCGTATTGCGGGAGACTGAGCACTTTTTTGAAAGGTAGTAGCCCACGGGTAGAATATCTGTTTAAAAATTGCAAATTTTGACATGAGTTTACCCGTAGTCTAGTATCTGTAGGTCTGTAAGTACTGAAAATCAATCAAAATTTATTCGAAAATGCTAAAAATGTTAGGGGGCCTCTTTTTTAGAGCCTAAACAGCATTAATAACTTGATTTCAGAGAAGTGCATAGTTAACGCTTCGGTGGAAGCACAGCTTGTGATTAAAAATAAGTGTGGCCTGTCAGAGTTTTTGAGGTCTACATATTATGACGTACCTTAAACGATTCAATTACAAGAAGACGAGATCTCCTACGAAATGAATAAATTACAATTGTGTGTATTATGTCTAGGAAGTTTGACTGAATATAGTGTATCGGCTAAAAGAAACCTACAAACTACACATCACTTAAGCGACGGATTTTCTCGATGGTGACATATATAGGTAAATGGAGTGTCTTCTAGCTGGAAACTAGCATAAACATGGGCATGAATTAGCCTAAAATTATATCTGTGACTGGCTCTGAATTTGAAACGTCAGGGCAATAACTGTTTTGTTTCAGCTATCACATCTTCCGAATTATATGATTGTTAAACAGTATTTGGATCCAATTTAATGTACCCTGGTTATTCGAAGGTACTTTAAAAAATTGTAAATGTTCGACAAATTAGATTAAAACTGCATGTACAAAAATGGAAGAGATCGAAGTAGTTGACAAGTAACAAAAAGCAAACGACATTAGTAAGGGCGGAAGTGAAGTTGACTTTAAATTCCAAATAAGGTCTTTCAGGAGATCTGTCCTAACCAGGTTTCCCATTCAGGGTTTTTAATCTTAATAACTACAAAAGCAAACACGGGAAATCGTCAAATATTCATCGGACTATAAAAAAGCGATCTGAAACTAAGTGCAATCCAATACCTGAGATTTCTGTGAAGATTTCTGACGACAGTGAAGTTCTTTTAATATACGCAAAATAGTATGGTGGTATATGGCTCACCAATTTGTGTAACGAAAATTTATGTCTGGAGCCTACTATAGAGCCCTCGCAGACAGTTGCATAGCAACTTGTTGCACGGGGTGCATTCGTTGGGGAGAGTTATGGCGGTTTTTCACGCCTTCGGAATTAGTCACCTTTTTAAAAGATTGGTATTTTTAAACAAAGCAATATTGAATTTTGCATTGCCTTTGAGTTTTAAAGTCCCCTAAGGTTTTTATGTCATTATTTAAGAAATTTTCCTACACGCGTTTATACCAGTTCGCAAAAGCTTATCAGACTTCTGCAAATTTCGACATTTCGCATGAGTTGGGGCATCTACTAAGAAGGTATTTTTTGCATCAATTTAAAAGCGCACTTGGTGCGTAGGACATGACAACAAGGTCTACCTCAATAAAATTCTCCAGCAGTCTGCCGAGAGAATGCGGCAGCGGTATGGGAAGGCAGAACTCGTCCGTCGGACGACAGGGAACGACACGGGGCAGAACAGTGGCCAGCAGAGGATCCTGCAGTCTCTTCAGCAGGATCAGCATGCCTGCGGAGGTGGGCAGACTTTCAGGCAAACCAGAGGCCAGGAGACCGGCGACTAGGTCCTTGCCGGCGGAGGGACTACTGGGGGCGCCGGCGCTAGCGGAGACGGAGGACATGAAGGGTTGCCAGGGCGTAGCCACGGTGAGTGGGCTCTTGCTTAGCAGGGAGATGCCGCACCACATCAACTCCAAGTCCACTTCAACACGGTAGAAGCGGAAGCAAAAGTTGGGCGGTGGAAGAGCCTAAAATTTGATGTAGAACGTGGATGGCTTTGAGCGCTAATTATTGTAAGGAGGGTGCTTTGCGTTTATGGGTTAGAAAAAAGAAACGCTTCGTCCACGATAACAGGAGCGCCTCACTTGTGTAATGAAGGTGGTTTTGTGTTAAATATCCCAACTTTAACCGTTACCTTAATCGTGGTTCTGATTCTACTCGCCACCTTAAAAGTAAGCTTAACTTTGAACTTAATTTATCCAGAATGTAACGCAATTTCATCTGTATTACGAGGGGTTCCTGTTCCTGTGGCTTACCGGGGGAGGGGGGAGTGCAATACAAGCAATTCATACGACGGTACGGTCCGACTAGTAAAAGTTGGGGATCCGAATCCATGTTTTAAGTGGGGAGGGGAATATACGCTAGAGTTATAGGCAGCAGAGTTTTACAAAATTCCAGGGAATAAGATGGAATATGTCCGGTGACATAAAACAGCAAAAAGTTCCACAATCACAATGAAACTGGCAGTGCACTTTGTCAAACGGGTGCTATAATCCAGAGCATCATATTTACGCGCTTCAGTTCGCCTAGAGTAAATTGACAGACAAAGAAAACAAGCCTATGTGCGGCGGGAGAAAGTCCACCGATGTAAGCAGCTAGCCCTTGTGGTCAATTTCCAATTACTCTGGTAATCTAGGGCCCAGGTTTACTCACCACTGTGATTTGTGCCAACTTCTCCACCCTTTTCCTTCTTATAGGATGGTTTAAGGTAGCATCCTTCATCTGAACATGTTTTGCAGTGAACCAAGACCTGTGCTCTTATGTACTGATATTGTGTGTAAATGCAAACTAATGTGTGCTTCCAGTCGATATCTATGTTATGCAAAGACGGATTGTAGTTGATAAGGCGCCACGAAATATTTGTGAAACCAATAAATTATACTGCAAACACCTGTTTTAACTTCATAACAGAAGAGAGTGCTTCAAAAACCCTTTATACCACCACTGGAATTCAGTGACGTCCAAGCCTTTACTAAGGCTTGGTAGTTGGTGATTGGTGAGGAGCACCATTTTATCGCAAAGGGCGCAGTCATTAATTGCAAGTGAATTTGTCTAAAGTGGGACAGACTTGCGCTGTATTCCATTCACACTTTCTTCCCACAGTAACCATGCATAAAAGGTCGGGGCGACTGAAGTTGGACGTGGACGCAATGATTGGGTTCGCAAAGAGCCCCGTCTGGGCATGCAACATAGGCACTAATTGAGAAGAAAAAGTAGATGTGATCGATGCAACAAGAATTGTATGCGCCTGGCGTTTCGAAATCCGTCGCGGATCCTTCATCAGAGACAATAGCAGAAGTGGGCCTCATATGTACTAATCTCTAAATTCACGCGAACCAAACTTAAAAAAAAACTGGGGTCCCTCACTGAGAAGTTATTCTAAAGGTCGCATTAGGGTCAATTGCAGGCTGACCCCCAATTTAGAGAATGGACGAGTTATTTAGTGAAGTAGTAATCGTCAAAGCCCCGACTGTTAGCTCCCTTCATTGCTTGTAGCGAGATAGGTCATGATTTGATAGACGGCAGGAGAATACACAAAGAATCGCTCTCTCTCTCTCTCTCCATCTCTCTCTCTCTCTCTCTCTCTCTCTCTCTCTC